CTTGCACCAGCGCGTGTCTGGCTGCGAAAGGTTGTGCGCGGGTAGAGAGTAGGTTTTCTTCTACTCGGATGAGGATTCTAGCGTCTTCGTTGGCGGATAGCTTGGTGTTGTCGTTGTTGCGTGATTGCAATTTTGTGGCTGCCTTAGGGCTATCCCTGTTGGCGGGCTTGGCCGCCACCTGGGCCCATGAGGGTTGCTGTGGCTCTGGTGTTCGTTTAGTGGTTTGTTTCGTGTCCTTGTTGTTAAAGACTTTGTCGTTTAGGTAGGCAGCTACTTCTCGGGAGACGGTGTCTGCTAGTTTGAGTTGGGAGCTCTGGGTTGGGCCTCTAAACAGAGTGACGAAGTCATCCATTGCCTTGGCGAAAGCAGTGATGACTTCTTTCTTGATTTTTGCGTCTCTTTCGGCCGCAGCAAACTGTGTCGCCACGAGTTCTTCAAGAGGCGTGCCATTAGTCAGAGGTGCTGCTCCCAGTGCTATCTTTGGCGGTGCCTGCACACTGTCAAATCGAGCTTTCTTTGTTATAAAATTGGCCCACGAAAGGGTCGCGGGTTCAGTCAGCCTGGTGTGCTGCGCACTGCGGGGTGGCAGTGAGCGGCGGGGGGTGACAGGGACTGTCTTGTCAAGCCGAGGCGGAGGGGCATTTGAAATACCCTCCATAGTGCCAGAATCCATCCTGTCCCAAGGGGGGGGGGGGGAGGGGGCACGGGGGTGAAGGGGGGGGGGGGGGAAGGGTGAGAGGCCCTGGGCCGAGTTTTGGCCCAAGGTCGGAAGTGAAGTTATGAGTTATGAGTGAATATGTGTTGTGATGGCGTGGTCCGGCGGTGTGGCGGACCCACTTTTCCAAGAAAAAATAAAATAGAAGGGAAGAAGCTGTGTCCTATCTCCTTGACTGTTCGAAGACAACAAATGGGTACTGGCCCCACGCTACCAAAAAGAAGACTCAGCTGGACTTCTAATACCAGCCAACTTCTCAAGAAGGGCAATGTATCCGTAAGTCTACACTTTTTTGATTGGTTCTCACCCCTGTGAGTGACCGAATTGTTGTCTTCGAACAGTCAAGGAGATACGGAGCAGGTATTCCATAACCGGGGACTCCTTGCTTCGGTATCCGGGCATAAATCCTAGGGGTAGGTAAGTACGTCCGTATGTCCGTACTGCGTACCTAAACAAGTACCTAACCTTACCTTAGGTACCTACCGGTACCTTTGAAACCGGTACTTGCGAGACTCTCTGAGTTAGGTAGCCGCTCCGCCTATCCGTGCAGAACCTCAGGATGGATAGGTAGGTACCTACCTATGGTTAGGTGTGTAGATGGGGCGGCCAGTGAAAGTGAGTGGGTGGCCAGAGTGCTAGGAAGCACCTTTGGAAAATGATATTCCTACTACGTACGTACTATCTAGGTACCTAGGTACCTAGCTACATGTACCTAAGGTACCTACCTAGATGTAAGAACAAAGTACCCAAGTAATTACGCGCTGAAAATGTACGGAATACAGACACAAAGCATCCAAGGTTAGCGCATGTTACAGTAAATGACAAGGTCATCTCTCGCCTCTGGAAGTCTGGCCTACGTAAGAAGTATTAGGCCCGGTAGGTATACCGGTTAGGTACTGGTTAATCTTAGTGTATGGACGTAGTGGTATAGGTCGTCTGTATGTACTTTTTACTTTGTAGCTACCTCGACCTTGATCCCCTCCTTCTACGTAGGTACGTCCGTACCTACTTACGTGGGTAGGTAGTGTATACGTAGTGTAGGTGATAGGTACCTATACGGAATATATTAGTGGAGACATACGGATCCGTACCTTACTTCGTAATATAAATAAGAACTTGTCATTTCAACAGTCAGCAGATTCCGTTGAAAGCCGTTTCGTTTCCTACTATGACTTTCCCCCTATAGTGTACCAGACCTACAATGTACATAGGTAATTAATTACTTAGAATACGTCCGTACCTTTCATCGCTCTACCTTCTCATGTCTTTGATCCTTTACTCTACCTCTTCGTGAAATTTGGTGTAAGTGGAGCATGGAGCTCTGCGGCCAAAAACTGGACAGGAGTCTGACGCGGAGGGAGTCCGCTGATGACGACAATGAGAGCGTAAAGACCGAGCTCTGCGAAGATCTATTCTTCAATACCCCACCGCTCGCACACGCCCATGATGATGAGCACGGGAACAATGCAAGCTCGGCTACTGCCACTGATCGTGCTGATCTGATCGAGTGGCTGAAGGGAGGGAAAAGTCCAACATGGAATCTTCAACATGTTAGTATTGCCGTGCCTCTTGCCTCCTGCCTCCCGCCTCCCAGATGACTTAATGTGAGAGTTCCTGCTGACATGTTTTATGTTCGCCGTTAGTTTGAGTCGCTGTGGAACAGACAAAAACAACCATTTGCATCTCCTAGCTGGAGCCTGACACACGCTGGTACCGGCATTCCCTCGTTTGCATTGATTCTACCTCCCCCGAATATAATGCCTGACGAGGTTCGAAGTACATCAGATGATGAGAAAAGGCACCGAGATGTTCTGAAGATCGAACCACCACGATCAGCACTACACAGTGGTGATTTTACACACGAGGCGTCCCCGGACGCCAGCCGCTCCCAAAATGAACCCTCTATTCGAGCAACGCAGGAGTCGAATGACGGCAGCCGTTCTTGGATCGCCACCTCTCCCCCGAGGGACTTTACACCTTTGCAATTTGAAAAGAGGCAACCACTGCGCGTCCGATCCAATGAGGTACAATCGATCCTCTCTCCTCTATCCACCTCCGTTTCAACCAATTACCTCTACAAGCCACCAACGAGTCCCCTGTTTCAGTCAGAGAGCAATGATGAAATAGACCTGGCTTCTCACATTGACAGGATCGATCTCAGTGCTACTCCCGGAAGAAAACGCAAGCATATGATCATGCCGTCTGTGCCGGGTTCCCTTGGAGCTTCTCAGGGGCTGCTGCTGGAACAGAGTTCATCACTCCGTCAGGAGAGAAACCTTCCCTATCAAGCACATCAACCTCGGCAATTTCTCACTGCATCATCTACCTTCTCGGTATCTGGGCATTCTTCCCAGATACCAGAAACTCTCCATACTCGCCGCCACTCGATCACATCTGGCGTCTCTCCACTCCAACATGCATCCATGGTCGGGTCTTACGAAGAAAGCATTCTGCACGGCCGCATGTCGACCACGCCATCAAGGCCACTAAACTTTCTTGCTCAGATTGGCGTCCTTGGTCTTGGCAAATGTAAATCGAGTCTTCGATGCCCCCCACACGTGACTTTACCTTTCCCTGCTGTCTTTTACAGCTACGCCGGTTCGTCTCATGGCCGGTCTAAGCAAGACGATGGGCCTAGTCCATACGTGGGGCAGATTGATTTGGAAAATGAGTTACCGAATCAGGAGGATGACGCTAAATTGAACAAAAAGCAGCAGCGTAGGGCTCTGGGGACGAGTATGGAGAGGATAATGGGAGAAACAGATGCGATGGATAACGACCACGCCGATCCCAATACGTCCAGCGGTGAGGCTCGCAAAGTCCAGAGAACTAAGCGCAGGTCTGGGTCGCCGCGAGCACCGCTAGGAGGTTATCGGATTCCTGAAAAGGGACAGATTCAGATAATAATCAAGAACCCGAATAAGACAGCAGTCAAGTTATTCTTGGTTCCATATGATCTCACTGGAATGGAACCTGGCACCAAGACTTTCGTGCGACAACGCAGCTATTCCAACGGCCCCACCATTGATAATATTCCTAGCCCCAGTGGTAATTCGTCAGCGGATCGCCCGATCTTAAGATATCTCGTTCATCTACATATATGTTGCCCCTCACGGGGTCGCTTCTTCTTGTACAAAAATATTCGTGTCGTTTTCGCAAATCGTGTGCCCGATGGGAAAGAGAAACTTCGAAATGAGATCACGCTCCCGGAGCCTAGGTATTCTCCGTATAAAGTTACAAGGGTTACGCGACAGCAGCCGTCGTCCAGCGGTTCAGGACCCGCGACATCAAGGCTAGATAATCCATTCTAAGTTTTGTTTTATCATTCCGTGAGTTTAGAAGTTTTGTGCGCTGAGTGAAATTCGTGAATCTTCACTATTTAAAAATAGTCAGGGCAAAAATTTATCAACCCGACGCGAGACTCGAACTCGCAACCTTCTGATTAGAAGTCAGATGCTCTAACCATTGAGCCAGCCGGGCCGAATGCCTGAGGTGCCTGACGCGTTTAGAATCTTATATTCTGAAGGAGTTGAATTGTGGGTCTGTGGGCCAATCAGACGCCTCGAAACGAACCGATTTACAGGGATTTGTTCAAAGAGATGAGCGAGGAAATGAAGAATTCATCCACAACTTCATAACGGTACGATCATGCGTAGTGTGCGAAGTACAGATTTAAGTTGTTGTTTCACGGCGCGACAGTGCAACGCGACAGTGCAACGCGACAGCTGCTGGTTGGATGGAACAGGCGCCGCAGTCGCACAGAAGGGAAGGGCGGAATTTTGCGCGGGACCGACAGACCTCCCTCTTCTGGCGAACTTTTGCTAGGTACCTAGTACGGACGTACGGACGTACCATGGCAAGTTGATTGTTGGCGATTTTACGGACGTAGACAAGTAGTGAAGGGATTGAAGCGGATCACTTTGCATGATGTCACGGGGTCTGCGGGAATTGATTAGCCACGGTAAACCTATCTGACATTCCCCTTCTGCCTTTGGGCCGCTGATCAGATCAGTCGTTGGCGCATCCCGAGGCGGGATATTGCCGGTTCGGGGGTCGATGCTTTTTTTTTTTGGCGAAATGGAATCCCACATTCTAGGTTGGTACGCTGGGTGTATCATACGGAATGCATACGTGTAAGAAAACGTTTAGTAGGCTAGGTAGTAGCTTCACCTGTTCAGGATGGCGGCACGTCGCAGGTCAACGTTGGATGTGTTGGTGGTTTTAACAAGCATAGAAGCGACCGGACCAATCAGTCGTCCAGTGGATTCACACAGACAACACAATGTCCTCCGTGGCGCAATTGGCTAGCGCGTTCGACTGTTACTAAAACAGGTTATCGAGAGGTTGACAGTTCAAGCCTGTCCGGGGGAGAGATGATTTTTTTTGCTCGTTTTGGTTTCTGTTGCGAGGCTTGTCTTTTGCAACCTTGGATTGTTCGTCTCTTTTATTTTATTGTTTTATTTCATTTTTGGGGGAGTGGTGGTGGTCGTGGTCGTGGATTGATTTGTTTGATAATCTCGATCTCGGTCGTCATTTAACCAACAACATACAGTATGTACTTCTGTCGCGCGTAGGGACGTACGTAGTGTACTTACTACTTACTACCATGTACTTCGCACAAAAGTATCTGCTCAGAACAACTTTTATTCGCCGTCATACATTGTCTCATTTGATTAAGACCGTATCTCTGGAACGGAATTGGAATTGGAATTTCACCGAGAGGGCGGCGGTCTCACAGCTCATTTCAGAATCTTCATGCATGCACAGCCCCGAAATAGACCTCTGCACGACATGAGGCTCTCATCACTCCGGTCATTCCCATCAAGCCTCGCTCCATCTTCTGAATGAGTACAAAAGAATTACTTTTTGTATGCAGTGAGCTTCCAGAAAGGAATCGCGTCTCAGCCCTGTCTCCAAGCCCAGGTCAATTCCACCGACTCAAGCAACACCAGCACGTTCCCCTTCCCCGTGACGAAGCGCCAACACCACCACCATCACCAGTACGTACCTATTCAGGCGAAAAGTGGTGCTGATTCCAAGCTACCTATGAAAACACACACATAACAACCATATCACATCATCACATCACATACTCCTCAGTAACCAGGCACCCCCCCCCCCAAAAAAAAAAAAAAGAACAGCTCAGATTCCTCGTAAATCCATCACGTAGAAACTCAATCCATAGATAGATAAAATATCTCAGCGCAAAGCATGAATTATCACTATCTATCTATACACTACACATACATATACGCGCATGCATGTCATGTACGTACGTACGTAACCTCGCTATTCCCCCCCCCAACAAAAAAAATAAAATAAATAAACAAGGTGCTATCGTATCCCTCGTCGCCCCAGACAAACCAGATACCGTCCCAATCCATACTCATCCTCCTCAAACCCCAATAACAGCAGGACAAGACTGCACCCGCTTATGCGCAACCTCAGCCCGCGCCCTCTTCTTCTCCGACTTATAAAACCTAAACTGCAAACTCTTCCTCTTCACCAACGAGCCCAGAAGACGATCCGTCAAAGTCTTGTGCTGTCTCCTCGGTCTCTTGCTGACATCCAACGTCTTCTCCACATCCCAGTCCAGGGTCTTCATCTTCCCGCCAAGCCTCTTCTTAGCCATAACTCTCTTTTTTCCCTTCCTCTTCTTGTTCCGCCACATGCGTCGCGGGACAACCTGCGCACCAACAAGCTTAACTGGTCTTCCCACCACTTCGAACCCGGCCTTGGTCCTGAAGCACACCTTCCTGACCCATTTACGCAACTTGAATTTCTGAAAGCGCTGCGTGAGAGTAACGGAGGAACCATTCGAATTGTTCATGGTGAAAAGCTGCAGCCAGGATGTATGGCGAGAGAGCGGTCTCGCTCCACTCTCATGAATGGTCGACCAGCCATCATCGTCGTCTCTATCGGATAGGGTAGTATGTCGTATCGCGGTCAATGCCGTCTCGTTTGTCTCCGTGCGACGACACAGACGATCCTCGGAACCAACATCGCTAACGCGAGGCTGTCTACCGCCATCATCGTCCGACGTGCTTCGAGCACTCGGCTTGTTATAAAGCATGAACCTGACATCGAGCTGCGACGTCATTGCGTTCTCGTTCTCTAAAATCGGCACGACAACCTCGCTATATGAAGATGCGTTATGGGTTTGGTTTCCCGCGCGAATGGTGCCTGATGAGCGTACAGCGTTCCGTTCCTCAGGCGGATCAAGGAAAGGAGAAATCAAAGAGGTGGCGTTCTGGCCGGCAGGGGTATAACTCGCTATCGTGTCGCTGCTGGCCCGAGTCGCCCGGGTATGCCGTATCTCCCTAGCAATGCCAGCGGAACCGTCGCTCACGGGCATGCTGGATAGGCGACACGAGCTCCGGGAAGGATACTTGCCGTGGCCCCAATACTTGGCGAGGTAGTTATTATTGGTATTTGTAGTTGGTTCCGGCGAGCCATTCCCATCATGAGGAGAGCGTATGCCCTCGGACGGGTAAGAAGACGAAGTAGAGCGGACTCTCACGAGCTCACTAGTTGACTTTGTTTGAAAAACAAGGCTCTCGTCGCCTTGCTTGTCTGTCTTGTTTGTACTGCTACTGCACTGGTTCGACGATCGGATCTTTGGCAATTTCCCGACACGATGCTTGACTTGTGCTGACCAGAGACGTGGCGAGGTCTCCTTCTCAACATCCTTCAAGCTATCGGATTCAAACTTGCGACCTTGCCCAAGCGACGTAAAGATATCAATCTCAAGTGACCCGGTTTCCTCGCCTCGATGGGCGTGCGAGTACTTGGGGGGCACATCAGGCGGTATATTTTCACGACGCTGCCTCAATAGCGGCAGCTCATCGCCCTGATGACAATCTTGCAAGTCACGTATGCTGCGGCGATTCTCGCTCTTCTCAAACAATGTTGAAAAAGCGGATGATATGTTTGCCCGTCGGCGGGGGCCTGGCGGGCCGATGTGTATGGTAGAGAAATTGGACTGGGCGGGCTCTTCGTCCCGGGACTTGTTAGCTACAAAGCCCCGACTTGGCAGTGACCACCGATGGAGGAGCGACATGTTCGTGGGACTGGTTCAGAGCTGTCGTAGAAATATAGCCAAATGTGTAAATCAGATTTTGTGCCAATTAGACTGAAAACACACAACAAGAGAGGTCGTGAAATAGAACATGCGTAATTACATTTGTTTGTGGCTGGACTGGGACTCCCAAGCTAGCCATTATTTATCGCCGAAGGGGCAGTTTCCTTATACTTCCCTATCTTGTCATGATGGGAGTTGCTATACAGACATGTGTCGCTGGCATGCCATTGAACCCGAGCTGTCGGGAAGTGGCTGGCGACACAATCGCGGGTGTTAACTTCCGTAAGCTTAGATAGCTCCAGGAGAAACATGTCGTAGATATATTGGAGCTCGCTAATAATGAGACAATATACGACATATTATATATTCTCTGTAAAGTGATCTCCAACTTTCCAACGTGATAGTCATCTTCCGTGGGGAAGGGAAAGGGGAGAGAGAGAGTATGTTATATATAAACTCTGAAACGCCAAGGTCATAAACGCCTATCAATCTGTAGTTAACTAAGATGTTCCGTATTCCAAGGGGATTTCATGACTAACCATTGCAACAGTGGGATCGTTGTCGCTTGAGAGCTCTGTTGTTTCTCAGTCATGTGATAAAGGTGGGTTTCATGTACAGTAGACACGAAATCAGTGTATTCAGGTAGATTGAAATCTATAACAGCAGAACAATCCTCTATCTTCAATATTCAGTGTTTACTAATAAAACCAGCCATATCTTCGGCAGCATTGTAACCATGATCCCCCGTCCTGTCTCGTTCATTCAAGCGCCGGCACCGCCTCTTCTCGCCCTGGTGTCTGCACCTAAGTAGTCGATTGGATTTCGACATAATGGGCATGTGTTCTGGTTGCTGCTCTGGAACCACTTGTAAAGACATGTACGGTGGAACAGGTTTCTGCAAGTCTGGCACCTTTTATCGGGCATCTTTTTGTCACTACTAATGATGCTATAGCAAATAGCGCATTCAGTTTGACCTTTAAGGGCGCCAACGACGTTGCGTCTAAATGTAGCGAGCCCGTCAATAATGCTACCGCCCTATTTGCGCATGTTAGCTAAGCGTACTAAGACGTTAACGTAGAACGGTGTTCATACCGAAAATATAATGGCGCCATGTGTCGTCGAGATCCAGCTCTTCCACTTCCTTTCATCCACTGCGACTCTGTTGATGCCGACGACTGTGACTGCTTCGAGTGGAAATCCTGGAGGTATGCGAATAGCGATCGAGGCGTTGAGATCGTCTACTTCATATCCAGCAATGACTTCCCGTGCCGCCGGGCTCACCTTGACGATCAGCTCTTTCTCGTCGTCTGCCGGAGCATCTTGACTCTCATTCCATTTCGCTACATCGTCCAAGGCTTCAGAGATAACGATAGGAGAGAAATATCTCGCCATCCACGCTTCCACAGCAATCCTTGTCTGCTTTGAGCGACAGTTGATGTGCCACGTCTTGAAGAGGCCCGGCACGAACTTCAACACTAGGTAGTACAGATGTATGAGGAGCCACTGCATATTTTTCTCTTCCGACTCCGATTCAGATACTAAGTCATAATTTCTGATGTGATCTGCGCTGAATCCTGCTCGATCTAAGCTTAGCCCACGAGCGGCCGAGTGACCCAGCACATCGAAAGTGAAGTTCATTAACGGGCCAATATAATTCTCAGTCTTGAGATTTTCTGCATAATCGCCACGCACTTTGAAAGACGCAGCGCGGAAAGCACCGAAAACCAAGTGCCACGACAGCAGGTAGGAGCGGACAGTAGTCGGAAATTGGGCCATGACCTCCTCTGGATAGGAATCCAAAGTGGGCGCATCGAGAAGAAGCGACAACAGTTCATCGGGTAGCCGCGCATCCCGCTTTTCTAAGAGTACATCAACTGATATTTTTTCTTGCAGAGCTGGAAGTGCCTTGTTCAATATGGTATATGCCGCGGTTTGAATCGCGCGAGATTCGCTGGCCACCAATCCATAGAGTTCTGAAAGATCGTCATAATGTTGGAGCGGTAGCTTTTCGACTTGTCTGCAGAGAATAGAGTCTACTATCTCTTGGGGTTGAGTGAGACTTTCTCGCCGGAGCTTCAGGAGTTTGATTAAAGCGGCCGACCTTTTCTCCTCTGTACTCTGTAAAACATCAACTAAGTCATCGTTTGGCTCCTCCAATGATTGTAGAGTAGACACGAGCCGTAACGACACATGAATTTCAGGCAGGCGACCATCAATTGGTTCAGAGGCAGGCCTATCCCATACATAGATGCAAAACTCAATAGCCTTTTCCCAATAGGATCCATATACA